CTGACCTTAAGTCACCGATATCAAAATTCCGAGATAAACATTTTATAGATAATGTTGCTCTTATCAATCGCTGAAAGTTTCAAGGCAATCGATCAATCGGTGTAGCTATGACGAGCACTCTTATTTTTTATGAGGTGAGGTCACTTGGCGTGACCTGGTGACCTGACCTAAGGCGACCTGGGTCTGAAATTTTCACATGTGCGGAAAAGATGCACAAACAGGTGTGCTAAAAACGGCGGCGCTCCGCGCTGCCGTTTTTAAGATATCTGAGAAAAACCGCAGGGTGTGTTCAAACACCCCCGGCCCGGCGCGGGTTAACACCCGTTTCGCCGTTTCCATACTCAGGACATTCAAATCCTTCTCCTCCATGCCGCAACCCATGATCCAGGCTGGACCTGGACGGGCAACTTTATACCATGCGGGCGGCTCCCATTGGAGCGCACTGCAGCTCCTAAGGAAGCACACTCGTAACCGGGTGCAGTGAGCACTTGGGGGGCTGGTCGGCCTGTCCTGTTGGACAGGCTCAGCCCCGGTGACTCACCAAGGTGCCCGCCCAGACGAATGTCTCCCTCAATTCCTATCACCCTTCCGGCCCTGAAATGGTCTGGTCAGACCGAAAGGGTATAGCCCAACAAAACAAACAAAACTCTTTTGACACTCTTTCTGTAATTTGTGCTCAGATTTGACCTAGGGTCAACGCTCCAGCCTGAGCCCAACCCAAGGCGGGGCTTAACTGTGCTCAGATTTGACCTAGGCCTGTTAATTGTACACCTTTTATCTCGGAACATTTTTATGTTTCTACAGCTCTGTAGGGCTGACAGCTCTTCCTGCGAAACCTTTTTTGGGTCGAAAATGGCAGAACATGACGTCATTTGCGGCCAACCTATCATAGCCTCTGGAAAAAATTGGTCACAATGTGTAAAATGGATGCCCGTAGAGGTCCTGAAAGTTTTGTGGGGATATCTGCAGTCATTTAGGAGATAGCTACGGAAGAGGACAGGGGGCCGTTTCGCCCCCCCCCCCCACGGGACGCGGGTTGAACGCCCTTTCAACTCAGGCTACAAGGGCCCTTTTGCCACTTAACCCTCGCCCGCACATGCCATTTTCCCATCCTAGAACGCACATGGGGGGGGGGGTGGTTGCCACCCCCCCCCCCGCGCCATTTCGTTCCTGTTGGAGATAGAGCTTAGCGGTAAAGACCAAAAAGATTCTTTGGGAAGAGACGAATCCAATGATACCCAGTTTTACCTTCTCAGGTCAGTCATTGACCTTCCAGGTCAGGTCAAACTAAAAAATGTTGCTGTTTTGGGTCACCGTTGGATATCAAGTGCGCTGCTTATCAAATACCGATGACGATGCTGTTTTCTGGTGCCAAGCCAGCTAGAACCTCTTTGTCACACTACCCGACCAGAATTTTGCTGCTGAGGTCATTTCAGGTCAGGTTAGGTCAAGGTCAATTATATGTGTTTGTATGTCTGTGTGTGTCTGTGTGTATACTGATGTGTGCACCGATTGTTTTTGGGTCCATATTACATGAAATCATGATCTGAGAAGCTTTTACCAAAAATGCAGTCAAAAAACTTCACAAAAAGTAAATTCAGCTTGCCTAAAACGCAATTATCCTAGATGACCTAGGTTGACCTTGACCCTGACCTTGACCCCTGTACATCGTCGAACAACATGTTCCATGATAGGTGGGAGGTAAGACTGGCAAAAAAGGCCGAAATCAGGGTGTCAAAAGCTCACAAGGCCCATGGCAAACGCAAGATGTTGAGAATTGGCCATTTGGGTCATGACATGACCTGAAAAACAAGGTCATATCTCCGAAACCAAAAATCACAGAAACTTGAAATTTTCAATGGACATCAAGAAAGGATAGAGGAGCAGCTATACAAAAAATCAGCCTTCTAGCTTTAAAAATGTTGAGTGCAGAGCAGAAAGACTACCTGGGGGGGTGGCAACCACCCCCCATGTGCGGGCGAGGGTTAAGGGCCCTTTGAACCCAGTCAGTCAAGGGCCCTTTTGACTGCGGACCCCCCCCCCCCCCCCTGAGAGAAATCCTAGATACGCCACTGCCGCACACTCAACTGTTTCGTTGGCATAGCAGGCATGACGGGGAGTGATTGTGGATGGATATGTTGACTTGATCGCTGCGACAGCTTTGCAGTGTGCGCTGGTCACTTTCAGGGGGATATGCCCCTGCACTACGGTCACTACGGTCGCAGGTTTGGGGGCATGCCCAACTCTAAAACCTGCCTTTATACATTAGGCTGCATTACGAAAGTCAAATTATTGGGGTCCGGACCCACGTGACCCCAACGGTAGCGGAGCCCCTGCTTGCACTTTCATTGTAATAAGCAAGGCAATGAGGAATGTTAGCCTGTACGCTTGTATTGTGGGGATACGGAACGTGCAGCTGCAATAGCCAATGCATGCATTTTTAATGAATATGACTGACTCCAGCTAATAAAGCCACCGCTTAATAAATCCAAAATACCTTGTCACCAAGGTGGATTTATTAAGCGGATTCCACTGTACTTGAAAAAATGTGACATATGTAAAAAATCATAATGCAAAAACGTGGTCTTTAACCCTCGCCCGCACATTGGGGGGGGGGGGTTGCCACCCCCCAGGTAGTCTTTCTGCTCTGCACTCAACATTTTTAGAGCTAGAAGGCTGATTTTTTGTATAGCTGCTTCTCTATCCTTTCTTGATGTCCACTGAAAATTTCAAGTTTCTGTGATTTTTGGTTTCGGAGATATGACCTTTTTTCAGGTCATGTCATGACCCAAATGGCCAATTCTCAACATCTTGCGTTTGCCAAGGGCCTTGTGAGCTTTTGACACCTTGATTTCGGCCTTTTTTGCCAGTCTTACCTCCCACCTATCATGGAACATGTTGTTCGACGATGTACAGGTGTCAAGATCAGGGTCAAGGTCAACCTAGGTCATCTAAGATAATTGCGTTTTAGGCAAGCTGAATTTACTTTTTGTGAATTTTTTTTTACTGCATTTTTGGTAAAAGCTTCTCAGATCATGATTTCATGTAATATGGACACAAAAACAATCGGTGCACACATCAATATACACACAGACACACACAGACATACAAACACATATAATTGACCTTGACCTAACTTGACCTGAAATGACCTCAGCAGCAAAAATCTGGTCGGGTAGTGCGACAAAGAGGTTCTAGCTGGCTTGGCACCAGAAAACAGCATCGTCATCGGTATATGATAAGCAGCGCACTTGATATCCAACGGTGACCCAAAACAGCAACATTTTTTAGTTTGACCTGACCTGGAAGGTCAATGACTGACCTGAAAAGGTAAAACTGGGTATCATTGGATTTGTCTTTTCCCAAAGAATCTTTTTGGTCTTTACCGCTAAGCTCTATCTCCAACAGGAACGAAACGGCGCGGGGGGTGGCAACCCCCCCCCCCCCCATGTGTGCTCTAGGATGGGAAAATGGCATGTGCGGGCGAGGGTTAAACTTTTTTCCATTGAAAACAACGTGATTTCAATTGCCTCAATAAATGGCTGAGGATTTTAAGAAACTGAAAATTTGATACTTTTACCATTCTTGAGCATTACAATACGCATTCTAGAGTGTGCATCGTGGGTGTATTGCTAGGATGACCGCTGCACTGCCTGCCGGTCAGCGGCTGATCTGGTACAGGGTCAAGAGCCTGCGATAACCGGGGTCGCTGACCGGGCAACTACTAAGGGAACGCACGGCGGAGCGATCGTGCCGGTGCCTGGTGCACGTGAGCTGAGGCTTCATCAGTTTTGTCGATGCAACTTCTATAAATGTCTGCAATCAGCAGCATGGGTTTTCCGAGTCAGTTTTGAGGATCGATAGCATCGACGAGAGAAATAATCCGTTTTAATTATGCTTCGTCATCGGCGTATTGAACAAGAACCGTTGCATTATTTCTTTCCCTGTGTTTATCTTGATATCACTCATAAGTTGTCAAAAGATGTGTGTGATCAGACGGCAGACGCTCAGCATGTGTTCGAGCATACAAGGGCGTCATCGATTGCATGCACTCGTTACTCCCGTGGAAAAGGTTACTGAATGGAGTGGAGGAAATTCGATAAAGCCTAAATATTCAGGTTAAATAACTAATTTAGAACAGTGTGGCCCGAAACAAACAAAAGGAACAATTATTTCGCTTGAGGAAGATTTACTTTCATAATGTTCGTAAGCAAAATGCCACTATAATTAGGTTATTCAGACTAGGCAGGCGCCATAAACAGCTCTCATTGCCAGGGCATGTGTGATATGACGTGCAATATTCATTCGAAATACTTAACCGATTCATTTGAACTACACCAAGGACTGCTGCGACCAATCTAGGAGTTATCTATGTGCAAAACAAGGGGCAATGCACGCTGTGAGGATTCTAGTTAGTTAGTTAGTTAGTTAGTTAGTTAGTTAGTCAGTTAGTTAGTTAGTTAGTTTATTGACACATGATAAAAAACTAAATGACATATATGTACGACTATATGTACTAAAAGGTTGCTTAGAACATAACATAACAACACGTCATCGATCAAAGCACTCGAAGCGATCTAAAACCATGTGACAAAACCCTGCTAAGTATAAAAGGTTTCCCTCCATTAGCGCTTCTAAATCCCTAAAATTCAGATTGGGGAACCTGTCCCTAAAAAGCTCTGTTTCTGGACAAAACAATAGCACATCATTTGCTGTCTCATTTGCTGTGACTCCTGCCATGGCTTTCCAGAGCAGATGTAAACTATTAGTGTAACTATAAATAAATAACATGATGCAGCATAACATAATATCGTTCCAAAAAACGTCGGTGACTTAGAAATTCCTGGTTACCGACGCTATCAGGGCTCCGTGTATCCTGCTTTCGGACACTATCGTAACTACCTAAACATCGAGTCGAGTTTCAGAGCTCATTAGTGGCTGGTTTGCCCCAGAGAACATAAACAGCTCCCTGCCAGCCTCTGAACACATATATACAGCCGCTGTCTGCGGCCTAACAGACAGTATCCGTCTCCCCAACGGGGCTAGCACATCTCCGGCTGCTCGTCATGGCCTCGCACGCCGGCGCTCCCCCTCGGTGGCCGCTGGTGCTGCTGCTGGTGCTGCTGCTGCTGACCTGTCTGACGGGGCTGGACGGAGGTGCCGTCTCGGCTCATCAGCCGGCCGAGCCGGCCGCCGGCGAGGCCTGTCTGGCCAGCACGCTGGACCTGCTCTGGTCAACCGTCGGCAGGATCGTCCGCTCGGCCGTGGAGCCTGAGGTCGCCGAGCTGGACGGCCGGCTGGCCGGACTGCAGACTCAACTGACTGAACTGGCCGTGAGACTGGACAGGATTCAGGGAGGACAGGAGGCACAAAATTCCACAGTCCAGATCCATCTGCAAGAGATCAAGGCAGGTCTGAAGAAAGGCCACCTTGATTTCACCTCGAAGGTTGATGGAGTGCAGTCTCAGGTGACGGAGCTGATGGCAAAAATCGACGACATTCAAGGAGGACAGCAGTCTCAAAATGTCTCACTTCAGCGCCAACTTCAAGGCTTGGAAGAGGGACTTGGAAAACTGACCGCTGATCTAAAGTCTACACTAGATGGAATTCAGGCCCAGACAGAAGCACGACTAGGAACTGTTCACGCCGAGTTAGAGTCAAAACTGGACCGCGTTCAGTCCCAGATCGACACGCGGCTCGGCCAAGTCCAGTCTCAGCTGGAGTCCAGACTGGCGGACGTCCAGTCCAGTCCAGTCCGGGACTGTAGTGACCTGCCTGCCGGTGCCCGGAGCGGCGTCCACCTGCTGCGGCCGGGCCTGAGGCAGCCGGTGCCGGCCCTCTGCGACCAGGACACCGACGGCGGCGGCTGGACCGTGTTCCAGCGCAGGGCAGATGTCCAGCCGCGACAGGACTTCTTCCTCGGCTGGGAGGCGTACAAGTGGGGCTTCGGCGCGCTGGACGGGGAAATCTGGTGGGGGTTGGAGCACCTGTTTCACACCACATCGCTTCTGGACCGGCGCTACGAGCTGCGCATCGACATGGAAGACTTTGACGGTGGGAAAAGGTTCGCGCTGTATCAGGACTTCAAGATATCGTCAGAGGCAGACGGCTACCGTCTGCATGCCGCCAACTACTCAGGTACTGCCGGGGATAGCCTGAAATCTCACAATGGCATGCGTTTCTCCACCAAAGACAGAGACCAAGATGATCATCCACCAGGTAGTTGCGCCGTTTCTTACAAGGGAGGCTGGTGGTACGAGAAGTGCCACTCCTCGAATCTCAATGGCCTCTACCTCGGCGGAGAACACTCCAGCTACGCAGATGGCATCAATTGGTATGCATGGAGGCAGCATAATTATTCGCTAAAATCAGTTCAAATGAAGATCAGGGCATCTAAGAAGCTATGAAAAACAACGCCATTTCATACAAATGATAATGGACACACGAAGCTTAGCCGCGTCAGGGAGTCGGATTGCCTACCAAGCATTGGATTGTAATTAGAAGAGCTCTGATGGAAAATGTGAAGCCCAAGAATGAAAAAAATGCAAATTTGAAAAGCATCGCACCAAGAATTGAGGTAATGCAACGTCTGAAAATTAGCTGTATTTAAATACACATGTCCTGTCCACACGTGCTGTCCCTAGCCGTTATTATTTTTTGCTGGTTTAGTTAAAATTATTTTCTTTATTTGCTCTGAAAGTGATTCATTTTACATTATATGTACAAACATTTTTTTACATTATATGTATCAAGCAAAGCCAAATGTTCCTTCACGCATGTTCTCTGTGGACCTTCGTCGTTGCAAATAAACAGCCGGGGAAAATGGAGGCGTATGAATTCACGATGTTACAGGATGAAGTCAAAGGATGGAATAAATAGAGAGAAATAACAAACTCATGAAACGGAGAGAAGGACACGTTGAAAAGGGTGCTTGCGTTATTCCTCGCCTGCACAGGGGGTGGGGGGTTGATGTACCCTCCTAAGGTTTTTCGCGACTAACTCGCGTAAAAAGCGGCTGATTTGCAACGGAACTTTCAGTATCCTCGTATTGATCAATTTTACACAAACCCTGAAAATCTCATGACCCTGACCCAAATGACCTTCGACCTGTGACCTCTTTTCCGAGACCATGTTTGGCCGGAATCGCGATTCGGCGTATGTCGGCTCGCATTAGCCGCGCGTTTGCAAGCTTTTCGTGGTTTCAAACGTTCAAACATGTGATTTGATGTTGCTCGCATGCATTAGGGTGGGTGTCAAGGTCACTTGAAGGTCAGGTCAGGTCATTGACCTTTGGTGACCTCGGTTCACTTTTTCGAGTTTTACATGTTTCTAGGCTAGTTTTCGGAGCTGATTTCGAATTTAGCAACCATTTGAACATTTACGAAGTAGTTTTGGTGCCTTCGTAACATGTTACGAAGCTGTCAGATGCGGTTGACACGTACTACGAATACCCGTCACGACCCCTGCCGGTTGCCCTGACCTGACCTGACCCGACCTGGTCTAAATGCTTAACCCTCGCCCGCACATGGGGGGTGGTTGCCACCCCCCCCCCCCCAGGTAGTCTTTCTGCTCTGCACTCAACATTGTTATAGCTAGAAGGCTGATTTTTCGTATAGCTGCTCCTCTATCCTTTCTTGATGTCCACTGAAAATTTCAAGTTTCTTTGGTTTTTGGTTTCGGAGATATGACCTTGTTTTTCAGGTCATGTCATGACCCAAATGGCCAATTCTCAACATTTTGCGTTGGCTATGGGCCTTGTGAGCTTTTGACACCTTGATTTCGGCCTTTTTTGCCAGTCTCACCTCCCACCTATCATGGAACATGTTGTTCGACGATATACAGATATCAAGGTCAAGGTCAAGGTCAACCTAGGTCATCTAAGATAATTGCGTTTTAGGGAAGCGGAATTTACTTTTTGTGAAGTTTTTGACTACATTTTTGGTAAAAGCTTCTCAGATCATGATTTCATGTAATATGGACACATAAACGATCGGTGCACACATCAGTATACACACAGACACACACAGACATACAAACACACATAATTGACCTTGACCTAACTTGACCTGAAATGGCCTTAGCAGCAAAAACCTGGTCGGGTAGTGTGACAAAGAGGTTCTAGCTGGCTTGGCACCAGAAAACGGCATCGTCATCGGTATATGATAAGCAGCGCACTTGATATCCAACGGTGACCCAAAACAGCAACATTTTTTAGTTTGAACTGACCTGGAAGGTCAATGACTGACCTGAGAAGGTAAAACTGGGTATCATTGGATTTGTCTCTTCCCAAAGAATGTTTTTGGTCTTTACCGCTAAGCTCTATCTCTAACAGGAACGAAATGGCGCGGGGGGGTGGCAGCCCCCCCCCCCATGTGCGTTCTAGGATGGGAAAATAGCATGTGCGGGCGAGGGTTAAAGACATCATCTGTGATCAAAACTAACACGATATTCGTGATCAGCACCCCGGAAACCCCATAGCAGCCACACTTTACGACTTTCTAACAGGTCCCGATTTTCCCGATTTTCGGGTCATTGATCTGACCTGGAAGGTCACCCGATGACCTAGGACCTTAACCCGCGCCCCACTGGGGTCTGCGTATAACACGCCCTACTGGGGGGGGGGGCTATTCATAGCCCCCCTCCTAACTCCGAAACTACTGGGCCGATCGTCAAAATTCAAACGGCGTCTGATAGCCCCGGAAAAACTGTCGAAGCGATACCTAATTTCATTGACCTCGAGGTCACCGATGACATCACAGGTCAGGTCAAAGTAAAAATTATTAGCATTTTGGCTTGTTCACGTCACGTTCACGTTTTGGGCTCTGGCCGCCGTCTTACAAATCAGATCAGGCTCATTTTTGGTTCACACACTCGTGAACAGATGCTCTAGATACCCTGAGGGTACCAAACTTGTACTTTGATTTTCAGGTCAAGGTCAGGTCATCATAGGTCACGAAAATATTATTTATAGTCACCGTGGAAAATATTATATCATGCGTCGGTCACGTGACACATGTTTTATGGTCCACTTATGCCAAAGATTTCGAATTTGATGTCGTCTGTGTCATTCGAGGTCATTTTGAGTCGAATTTAGCTTAGGTCAGGTCACTTTCAGGTCAAAAAGGGTCAAATTTTGAAGTTAAAATTTTTCAACAAACAAGGTGTCTAATGGATGCAGTTTGAGCTCAGAAACACGATTGTGCTATTTATATTGGCGTACGATGTAAAATACGTGCTGAAAAATTGATTTGAAAAATTAATAATTGTGAATTTTTTTGCAATAATGCGTATCACTTGGCCATTTTTGAAGATATTTAGGTAAAACTTGCTAGAGTTATAAAAAAGTCCATTTTTTTCAAAAGGCTCATGGCCCGAAGTATTATTTTGGAGTTGGCACGTGCGAGACGCTAGAAAATAACGCAAGCTGAGATTAATTTCTCCAGGGGGGGTCGAAGTCTAGTTCATACTAGACTGGCAACCCCACGGCTGACGTCACGATCCCCAGCGTGACGTCACAGCCCCAGGGCATTGACCCCTTGAAGCTTGCAATATTTGATGGTGCTTACAGACAAACTGAACAAAGCTTGTACGTAACAAAAGAGTCATGCTTCTACGCTCGATGTGTTTATTGTGTTTTTAGCAGATAAAGCAGACAAAATTGTTCAAAGGCAGAAACAGCGAGGTGTACGCCAGTCGCCACGCATCGATCTCATCGCATATGGTGCCCCAAGAGGCGCAGCATTGCACCCGTGACCCCTCTTTATGTCCCTAAGGTCATTTCAGGTCAAGAATGGTCTCCAGCAGTTTTTTGTTTTACCGTAACCTTTGACAGAGATATGATTCTTGATTAACCCGAGCCCTGCTGGGGGGGGGGGGGGGGGGTGTTTCAACACCCCTTGTGGTTTTTCGCGAATATCTCAACGTTTTTGGTACACCTTATCATACATCAATTCTACACATGTTGTGAAAATTTCAGACCAAAGTCATTCAAGGTCAGGTCACCAGGTCACTTGAAGTGACCTCACCTCATAAAAAGTTTCAATGTCTGTCATAGCTACACCGAGTGACTGATCGCTTTAAAACTTTTAGCGATTGCTAAGAGCAATAGCATGTACAAAATGCATATCTCAGAATTTTGATATCGATGACCTATGGTCAGGTCAATTTTGCGACCTCCCCATTATAAGTCAATGAGAGAAAATTAAAATGCGCCTCTTTTGGACGAAAGACATTATAAACACTCCCAAACACCGAATTACAAGTGGTTTAGACACACTGAATATGAAAATGGTGTCCGTGACCCTTGTATATGCCCTGAGGTCATCTTAGGTCACGAATTGTATCTAACAGTTTTTCGCAAATAACTTTTGATAGAGACATGCTAGAGCAATGAAAACGCCTTAGATGTGTTTAGCTAGACGATACGGATCGACTGATATGCAACATGACCCTTTCCGGTCAGGTCATGACCTTGACCTGAGGTCAAGTTTTCAACTTGACCTTTCAAGGTCAAGTTATAGTTCATTCGATGCGTCTTGACGAGAGGAACACGATGCCGATGAAAGTAAGCTCGTACAAGGCTTGGGTCAAAAGTTATTGCAGAAAAACTGTTTCCGAAAAAATCGGCTTTTTTGCAGTTTTTGCCCCCTGCAGGCAAAACCGTTGACGTTAGGTCAAATCTGATAAAATTCCTCAGAAAGGGCGTTAATAGGGCTATCGAATGCGCTTTTCCGCGGCGCTGTAGCTCTATTGGTTCCCGAGTTATGCGTCGGCTTCTTGGAAATTGTCGACATTCGACCTGGAAATCGGCGAAATTTTGCCTTCAATGACCTCTGGTGACCTGACCTTTGACCTGACCAAAAAATTGACCGAAGTGATCTCGTCATTATTTTTGACGCTCTTTCGAACGCCGCCTTCCGCGTATCGCTACGTGGCCCAGGAGCCGAGTTAGAAGGGGGGTGTTCAAACCCCCCCCCCCCCCAGCAGGGCGTGGAAATCCAGGACCCCCAGCCGGGCGCGGGTTAAAGTTTCCAGGCATTCTCTGGTTCTCTGTCTCTTGATTTCTCAACCTGTCGGCTGTCTCAACCGTTCACGGTTTTCTGAAAGCTTCTGAGTGGCGGCTCTTCCACCAGCTATAAGCTGGTTGTTTCGTGGTTCTTGACTTATAGCAAAACTTCTGATTCTCAGACAATTTATGATCGATCACACTTAGATCACAAGGATGCTTCTACCGGGATAAAAACAGATATCTCTGCGTATCATTCACTTTACCACCAGGGACTGGCGACTTGCATTCTGTATAACATAATAAGTCTTTATTCTTATTTCTTTACGCGCTGAAATTAACCACCTGTGTCTGGAACCATGATATGATAAAGTAAAAATATTATGCCAAAGCTAGATAAATTAGATGAGCCCCGAAATACAGGAAAATATCCAAAGAGCTTGTTTTACCCTATTTCATAACAACAAAACTATCTGCAAATACGAGATAGCGTCCTTAGCAACCGCCCATAGCAACGTGTTTGTCTGAACCACGCATCTGGAAAATTAAGTAGATACTGGATAAGTCGACTAGAGTTTGGTCAAAACTACACTGAATTTGATTTCGAAATGGCTTTTTGTGAATCAAATGTAAAGTGACTTATTATTTCCTTTTAAATTTTCATACTATTAGAAAACATGCTTGTTTGCTCTATATTTGTAAAGAAACAACTGCAAGGACGAAATATCACGACAAATTCTAGTACCTTGTTGGTAGGAAACTTCGTCCAACCTTATGTTTTAGGGCCTTGAATTTCTCGGCCATTTTTGAAAGATAAG